TGTTGTCATGCAGAAATCTTTATTTTTCAACAAAATGGAGAAGGGTGGGGGTGTGGATGAGGGGGGGGGGTGTATTTCGACGTAGTGTCTGAGTGTTGGTGCTTGTGTACTCTGAAAAAAAACATCAGGCACCTTACGGAACCAAAAATGTTTTCGTTGTCGCTACGAAACTTGAAGAAAGTTTCAAACATGAGTACGAAACCTAAAAAGAGCTTCGCACATGGTACGAAACTTGAAAAAGGTTTCGAACTTTGTAACGAAATTGAAACCTTTTTGAGGATTCGTAGGTTTTCTACGAAACCTTTGAAAAACTTTCCTGAGCTCTTGATAATCATTTTGGGGGTGGGTGTGGGTGAGTGTAGGTGGGTGTGAGTGTGAATGATGAAGAGACACACACCAACATCAACACCTGCACCTTTACCTACACCTCCACCAACACCGACACCCTACATCTACACCCACACCCCACATTCACACCCATCCACATGCACATTGTGACGATTTCTGATAGAATGGATGTTAGTGTGGATGGAGTTACACTTTATTTCGTTCCTTCATATCATGAATCGCACTGCTTGCATAGAAAGCATGTGCTCATATACGCATTGTGAAGAGAGGACAGACAAGCAAGAATACAATCAAGTGTGATACAATATTTGAAGGACACATAAGGACAAATCCGAAGGACATGACAACAATAACAGAAACGTAAGGACATAGAAGGTATTCTGGTGGGTTGTCACAAACATGCACACACCTACACTCACACGCAAAACTGAGCTGATGTTCATCGCTTTTGTCTCTTCTGAACATGGCAAACGGTGGCGAAAAATGTTACATGCTATATTTGTAGATGCCATGCGAAAAGACAAAAGTCTCACCTACACAATGAATCTCATTTTTCTAAAGATCTGAGTAAGGTTTGGTGTGGAAGTATAAGTCATTTCTTTATCTATGCTCACACCCACACCCTGTCAGAAACCCAATGACCATTCTGTTGATCTGTAATAGCATGTCGTTTGCTCTATCAAAGTACACACGTATTTATACTGGTAGGCTGTTATCAGTGTTACTTGGCGGACAAACAAAGTATATATATTCATCATCCCTTCGAACAGATTTTTTCTCAAAAACAAAACACTTTTTCAATGAAATTCTTTTCTCTTTCCTTTTTAGAGATCGTTGTCATCGTATATTATCGGCATTCGTTAATCACTGTCACTTGTCTTTTTTTTCTAGGACAGACCAATAGATTCTTTCATTGACGGGTAATAATCGTAATATGAAAATTATTGATTTAACAGCAGCGATAAACATTTTATGAGATTTTTCTCTATTTGTCTTGGAGTGTGGATGTGGGTCTTGGATGTCGATGTTGGTAGGTGTGACTGTGGCTGTGTGTGTGTGTGGACAAGGGAAAAAAACTCATTTCGAAACATTGAAATGGCTCGAAAGATATTAGAATGGATGCAAGGGCCTTATAATAGTCGAAAGTGCCTAAGGACGTTTTCATGCAATTCAAAGTAAAATAATCCATCGATCAGGATTCCGATCCAGATTTCATCGGATTTTGTAGGAATCCAAAGAAAACCGAAGGAATGTCTTCAGGATTTGCTGGTACCCAGTTGGATCCGACTATTAGAATCCTGATCATTGAATTCCCGGTTAATTCTGGGTGTGCGTGTGGATATGGGGTGTGTAGATGTGTTTGCGGGTGTGGATGTGGGTAGTGTAGGTGTGTTTGTGAGTGCGGGTGGCTACCAGTATGTGAGTGGAAGTGTGTATCTGAGGTCAGCTGTGGGTTCTTCATCTTTTCATTATCCTCACACCCAAATTCACACCAACGCCCCACATCCCACACCCCTAACACTACACCCTACATACACATCCACGTCCATCCTCCTATTGCACACACATGTCTTACACACAATTGTTCGTTCACACAGTCGTCTTGCACACTTCTGTCTTAAACACAATAGTGATGGACCCATTTTAATGTTTATCATCAAATAGAATATTAGAAAGAATTTGAAAACAAGAAAAAAGAACTTTTCTCAATGATTTTCAATTAAGAAGGGAATTTTTTCTTTTAATAATTTCTATTAGAACTCAGTTTCAATTTATCTTTAAATAATCAAATTACTCTCTAAAACATCTTATTCAATTAGTCAAATATTATTAGATGGCAAATGAATAAAGACAAAATTGATTTTCTTCTTATATTCAATCGGAACATTCACGCCACTTTTCTCAAACAACAGATGAAAAGAAATTTTCGCTTCTATTCAATTTTGAAAAATAATTCAAGGAAAAGTTCATTGAAATATCTCTCGTCAGATTTCTAGTAGACTCGTTTGATGGAGAATATTATCGAATTGAACTGTGGAGACTGATGTTTTATCTAAATAGTTCTTCTCTCTCTCGCTCTGTCTCTCTCAATCAATATCGACGAAGGAAAAAAGACACTGTTTTATCGTAAATCTTTTTTTGCGATTTTGTCGATCATTGAAAAAAAAACTTCTCTTTTAAATAAGACGAATACAAAGATCGATATAGAAGTAGAAGGTATTTTATGGTCAGTAGACAATTGTCTAACAATGATTGATACATCGAAGAACTTTTTAATGTAGAATTGAGAGAAGAAAAGAGAATTCTTCAAATGGATAGATATTCTTTCACTCGATCGAGATGAACAAGTTTCCTTGGCTTTTTTCTTAAGAAATAGTGAAATAAATAATTGATTTTCATTGATTTAAATGTAGTCTTGTTTTCTATCAATTAGCTGAAATAGAATACTTCAACGATTAAAATTCTTTTTAGTATCGTCTGATATTTCGTTGAAATATGTCAATGATCAAAATGATCAGATTTTATCGTTTCATTTTTTTTCAACAACGAGTTCGATATAAAAGATCAAATCATTTTCAACATATTTCAAAGAAAAGGAAAGAGAAATTTAATGAAAATGATTAGCTGACAAGTTTTCTATGATTTATTTATTTAGATATTCTTGTTTGATATTTGTTTTATTGACCAAGTAAAAAATTTATCACCGGTACCTGACAAACAAGTCACAACTCTATTTGAAAAAAAATGGAAATTGGGCAGCTTGATATCACACGGGAACTGATTATGCTTGTCTAATTGGAAGAAAAGTTATTGCAACGACAGTTGGAACTGGTTAAAACTGCTAATTGGAGTTCAGCATATGGAACACGTTCACTAAAAAATAATAATGCATTTTGTGCTGTGCAAGCGGCAGAATGTGCGATCTCATTTCAGGAAACGGGAAAAATCGCTCTAAGATCTGGCAAAGACTTTGTAAAACTGCTAACAACGTTCTCTCAGGCGAGAAATCAGCAGATCTGAGTAAGAAAATCATAAGAAAGACTAAGGTTCATATTAAGATTCGCCGACCTAAAAGAAACAATCACATACTTCTTTTCGATCAAACTTCATTTTAGATATAAAAAAAATGGAGCTATCAAGGTTTAATTTAGGTTGTTGTCTTCTCACATATATAATTTTCCTATTGCTCTTTAACAGAATCTAAAAGAAATTAGTGAGAAAGCATTTATTGAAGCGAAAGTCCACAACCTAGACACCTGCTTTGTGAGGGATAAAAAAACACGATTCTCTTCACGAAAACTTACTGAGAACAACCAAAAAAACACAGAATCGAAAACGAAATTTAAATTGTATTACATGCTCTTTCTTTTCAAAATTTCTTTTCATCATTTAAAGAGAATCCGAAAAGTTGGTAGACAAATAAAGAATTATAGCATATATAAGAGAGAGAGAGAGCGATATTCCGTTCGAACGGAAGAAAAGAATACAACTTCATTAATCAGAGTTACCTTTGAGCACAAAACCAATAATTTTCTGACTTTATTTTAAAGGAAAACTGAAGATTCAGTTAGTGAACAAGTTGCTGAGATATACATAAGAGACTCATGTAATTTTTTTGAATCGATACACCTCTGGAATGCAAAGGACGAACGCATGTGGTTCGAGTCATGACCGGATTTGAATTCGACTCAATAAGCGCTACTCTCAATGAAAGAATCAATTATAATTTGATTCTTATTAGATTATCGCCAAGATCGTTTGAGGAATACGTAGGGTGTGTCTCGCAGCAAGGAGTAAGAGTGTGGGTTCAAAAGTTTTGGATTCAACGCACTCTATTCAATAACTTGATAAAAGTGGCGAAAAAAGCAGATCTCAACCAGATTTGAAAAAATATCTTCAAAAAGGTTCTTGATAATCTCGAACGACCGTAGACATAAGAGCCATGGAAAAGCCTTGAGAATCCAGTCAAAAGCTTTTGTGATCACCGATTTATTTTTCCATCCTGCTGCTCGACTGCAGAAAACCGTTTCTTTTCATTTTATATGTAATTTCATCAAATGACTCATCTTAGAAACTAACTCGTTACAACTAATTATTTTTGTCTTTTCTTCTCATTTTTTTTGGTCGTTGCCTTACAGATAGTGCAGCACCGATAATAACACTTCTTCGCTCTGTGAAATCATCCATATCTTTTCTCCTTCTCATGGGGAGAACCCATAAGAAAAAAGAAAAAAATATCAGTGTCAGTATTCTCACGAGCCACCAATACTGTTATTTTCTTCTTTCTACATCAACATGTCTAGTGAATAATAGTGATTCTTACATCGTCGTGCGTAGAAAATAAACGATCTACCTTACCACACACAATCCTTGCTTGCAATGACGGGAGAAGCCGAACGATTTGATGAAACAGGGGGATATAGTCATACTTTACTTGATAATAATCAAGTATTCGAAAAATCACTAGAAACTTATGGTGGTAATTATGCTCGAGGTCAACGAGAATATTCTACTGGTGTACATCGCATTCGTTTCCAACTTGAACCAGTCTCTTTTGATCAGCAAGCCAACAAAATTCTGATTGGCATCATTTCATCAAGTATAACTGCCAGGGATCAATATTTTAATCGAACACCTTCGACATATGCATGGGAAACTTCATCATATGAATGGGAAAACGAAAGTACCATCGTATAGAATGGAAATCATCAGCTTGTTCCAAGGAACAAATGGCCAGGTGCAAAAACTGGAGATATACTTGAGTTAACTATTGATTGTGATCAACGAACGATCAGTATAGAGAATCAATCAGAACACGGAAAAGATTCAATGAACGTTGACTTAGAAAACAGTCCCTTGCCCTGGAAATTTATTGTCATTTTTTTTACTCGTCCCGATCGTGTTCGTCTTTTGTGATTTTTTTAAAGGATTTTTCTCACTTGTATGTACTAAACAGAACTGTAATATCGGAAGATGATATCAATCGTCTAAGCTATCTCATTTGCAATACTGATATCAATTCTTGAACAAACTAATCTTTGCTTCATTTTAAGTGCAGCGTCCGTTCGGTTGAGATTTCATCAAATCTTAATATACGACAGTTCCACGACGCTCCTGAAAATTCTAGTTCTTTTCGCCAATTGTTTCAATATTTAAACAACAATCTTTTTGCATATAAATGATCTCAGTTCTTCTGAAAGTCATATCTTATATTACATTATAATTGAAACAACTTTATAAGAAATATGCTTCTAAGAGCTTGTTCGTATAATTATAACATCATTAATCATCTGATGAAGTCCTGGCAAAACAGAAACATTCGTTTGTCACGAAATGGCCTACGTCTACTGAAATGAGACCTAAATTGTTTGTTGCATATAGGGGGATTATTTATGAGGAGTAAAAAATGAATGATCAGAAAATTATTTAAATGGTAAATTATTAAAATAATTGGGTTTGTTAATATATGCAAAACCAGTAAACTAAATTAAAATGTAAGTATATCGAAATGTGTTATACCTTCACCCTCACCCCCACAAACAACATCTTAGAGGCAATTAATAAGCTAATCAAAGATGACGAAATGTATAGAGACCGTCATATTTTATCGAGATTTTTGACAATAGCTTCAAATATTACCGATAATTCGTTGATTGAACGAGACCTTTCCTCAATTAATGCAAAAAAAAAATATTTGCTACAAAATCAACAATAGCTTTAGAATTATGAAGTTTATCCTATCAATAGGCTAAATCAATAGAAAAGGCAATTTGCCTTCCAAATGATGCTTTGAAACAATATTGTATTCCAGCTCGCCATTTACAATCGATTATACAAGCGAATTTAAATAAATATATAAATAAAAATTGACAACTTCGAATGGAATCAAAATTCATTTGATATTTCTGGTTTGGAAATGGAACGCAGTTCAGATTGGAACACATTAAAACGCAACTGTTCAGCTTTTTTTCAAGAATTACATATGCAAACACGTAGTTGGTATGTCTATTCGTTTGAAATATTACAAATAACGAACAGCAACAACTAGACTTACCTTACTAGTGCAGTAATTGAATTCTCATTTTCCTTTTTTTCTTTTCATTCTTTAAATTTCTATTTAATGGCTTTTTGGATTTCTTAGTATTTACTTTTTAGTTTTTTTATTTATTTAAATTTACTTTGTACTAAATTAATCTTTATACCAATAAACTTACTTCTTCTACTGATAAAATCTACATTTTTACTGATAAAATTTGAGTTAAAAACTGATCATTTTATAATTAATTACTAGCCGCCGTACTAGTGATGATTCAATATTTTCATTCATTATTTGTACATCTTTTTAACGACCATTTCATTTAATCTAGTGACCACTTAAATAGTAGCCATAAATACGATTGAGATGAAACTAGATTCCTGCAGGCCATCCCGCTTTATCGGGAGCCATCTTGAGCGATGTACTTGGGTGTGCGTGTTATTTAGAAGAATACCCACACGAAAATTATTTCGTAATTTTGCGTCTAACTTAAAACGAATTCAGTGCAAGTTCAATATTGCCTTTGGGATATATTTCTTTTCTATTTGTATCTTTTTTGTTTACAAGCAGTTCTTCATCGTGCTTTTTTTTCTATTCATCGTCTCCCCTATATGTTAAGAGAATGATGATAAAAATTCGCAGGTCCATAATTTTTTATTCTTATTTTCTTTGATGAACATGACATAAAAGTCATAAGTCGAGATTTTTCTACATTTTCTAGTATTTATAATATTAATCGCTAGTGAAAACTTTAGTTGCTGCATGTGAAAATGATACGAAATAAATTAGCTATCAGATAACTAATATGTTATTCGGTGATCGTAAGTCAAAGTAAGAATTCTTACTGTCCTGTCTTGCCGCGTACCAGGAAAGGATAGAACAGAAAAAAGTTGTTTCATGTTCGAGCTCAAGTATCTCTAAAAGAACTTGCATTCATAAATTTTAGTAGCTTTTCTGTACATTCATGCTAGACGAATATTTCACATATATTTACACTCTTTCAGCAATAGGTACCATACCCAATTTATTTGTAACTCGAATTAAGACGACTGGTTAGTTGAATTGCAACGATGCTATATCTCATTATACAAAATCACAAGCAAAACGAGTAAAAGATTTATCACCATTGAATGCAATCTAAGTTGATTTTGCATCAATTGAAGAAGTCTAAACCATACTTATTTGTCAGTGAATGAAGTTGAAGGATATTTTCGCTGTTTGAATCCATTCCTTTCACTTTCATACTGTAAAGTATGTTCCATTAATCAGAGGAGTTCATGTGTGAGTATAGTCAAATTGCAAGAATCCAAAAGCGAGTATGTGAAAGATCTTCGCTCAGAACTATAACTTTATTTTTCTTTGTGTAGATTGATAATTAGGCTGAAAATTTTATTTGAATAAATATCACATTCTCAAAAATCGAATAAAAAAACATCTTTGGTATATTTGTGAACAATAAACTTGTGTGAATGTCGCCGATATATATTTTATATCTATGTCCTTTGTTAGGATAAGATCGATGAAGATGGATATTGTATTCAGCTGTAGAATTATATTAATTTATGCGTATTTTCATGGTGACAAATAGATATGCACGATTAAATATACTTAATTAGACACTTTTGATGATACATCTATTTGTCTTAACCGATAGGATACATTGACAATAGCGTCACCGACTCTGGGAAGATAAATGCTTAGATAGACCCATCTTGTGTGTGATGGTACGTGTAAATGATGTTGACAAATGTGATCCAGGTTTGTTGTACAATCTATTGCCATAAAAAGAAAATATATAACTGATTAATTCATGCTTCAAAGCTAAATATGTAATTTCAACTGGAAAGCCACGTTTTCTTAGGACTCAAAATTATCAATGAATTGAAAAGCGCTGATTGCCTTTAGATTCGACTTGGCTCCGCAATATTAACTTTTTGACAACGCTCTTGATCATTTCTATACGATATTTTAGGAGTGCAAAATTGAATATTGTACCATAATGAATTCTTTAAGCATCACTCTATGGCATCACGTTTTGTCTATTAGAAGTCAACGGAAGAGCAGATAACGGCTCGTCAGTATGTCGTTTAGCGGTTTTCTCACAAAGTACATTGACAAAATTCTTTTTAGAAAAGAATTCGATGTCGTACACACGCACTAATCTATATCGTGACTGTTATCCGTTCGTTTATTTTGTCTCTATTGATAGTAAAATCAGTCGCCCTCATAGTTCGTAAATGTAGAATCAACGTGTAATCTATGGTAGGATGATCTACAAATATTTCTTGTTTTTTGTTTTACAAAAGCTACATTGATGAAATTGAAAGGAATAAACATTCAAATTTTCATCCATTTCTGTGACGTCTTAGTTTAGTTCTTTTTTAATCTCCGTCACATTTATTAAGTGTTCTACTCAATATAGGCACACTTATGAATAAAAATAACAAGATTGGGAATGTATTCATCTGTCAGCATCACTACAGAAAACTTACTCGTTTCAAACACTTTGTAGACACCACTTTTTCTGCCAACGAATATGATATCGATTCGAATCGTTTGTGTATTAAAGCTTTGTTCTACTGTAATCTCAAGTTCTGCTTGATGTGCATCGACGAGTAGAGATCGTTCAACAAATGGAAAATTTAAAGCTTGTTCAAGATTTACATCAGGTATTTTTGCAACAAGTGTACAATTTTCTACTTGAACAGTATCCACAGGTTTGATTTGCCAGTTTTCAAGAGATTCACATGGTTTTGGAGCTATAAATAGGTCATCAATTTGTGAAAATGAACCATTTGGTAGAATGGAATTTTTTATCTCCAAAGAAATAACCTGAGTTTGATTGTCAAATATTGCTTTGGTTAAATTTACATTGAAAAGATGAATAGAATCTAGTTTTGCTCGACTAAAATCTGCTCTAGCTAATGTCGTTCCATTGAATGTGACTTCAGATAGGATTGTATCATGGAAAATGGCTTCATTTATGGAACATTCGATAAATTGTACGTCCATAAAAATTGATCCAGCGAGATCCGAGAAACGAAAATCTGTTCTACGAAATATGACATTATCAAACAAGCAATTGCGAAAAGAAGTACGATAAAAATTGGCACCGGAGAAAATCACTTTGAAAAATAGACATTCATCATTTTCCAAGTGAATTCGACTAAAATCAGCTTCAGATAAGATACTGTTTTCATCTTCGGATAATAATGAACTATCTCTAAGAAAGAGAAGAATATTTTTCTTCCTTTCAACGTCTAATGTACGAAGTGCTGCTAATGTTTTCGAATGAATATAAACTAATTTATCTGCATTTTTTGTTAGATTTTGAAGATTTTGATCACGAAATCTTGAAATATCATTAATATAGGTAATAAACACGGCTTCACGTTGTTCGTCTTGCGCTTGATTGATATCTTGTTCGCGTTCTTGTCGAGCTATATGACGGTTTTGAAGAGTTGTAACAAGAGTAAAAATGCCAATCGTAAGTGGAATACCAACGGATGAGATAAGTTTCATCCATCCGAGTTTGGTACGTAAGGGCTTCTTCTCAATAGCATCATTCGAAATCGAAACCTTATTCGATCTTTGAAAAAACAGTTGTCGAGTCATCGACTTATTTTTAAGTTAATTGAGAGAAAAAAATGAAAGTAAATCGAGAACAAACTGAATATATCACAGGATCACACCAACACATTGCGATCGAGCCTAATTCTAATTTGACCTTTGTTCAGTTTTAGGCAAAACATAGAGCCATCAAATATCGATTTATTTTAAATACATGTGAGCAAAAAAAAAGAAATGTCAGAGGTTTTAATCTTCAAAATAAATCTGCTGTCAGGAGGCGTATTTCGTACAGATTGCGATCGATGGATTAGTATCTATTCTAAATTAGTCATTGGATCAATGAAAAACATCAGATTTTCGCTAGTCGATCCTAAGGGATTTCATTTGTTCAGATTTGCTTCTTACTGAAATTACAAGATAGAACAAAAGATCATTCTCTTTTCATATCACTGATGTTCGTCAAATATCACATTGACAATTTCATCCTATGATTTTGCCTTGTCATCATTCTAATAATAGATGAAATAAATCAGAATGAATGCAAATATGAAAGCAAAGATTTATGCAAGTTCCCATGGCAAAAAGGCAGAGAATTTTTCGGTCATAGAAAATTATTCTTACTCATTTCTCCTACATGAAACACGTGTACCACTAGTACAACTACGGGCAGTGAATTCATTTTCACTCTTCAAACATAGAAAGTGTAGAAATGAAAAAAATTTTCACAAAATTCTAATCCGTTATGAAGATTTTTACAGTACTCGATTGAAATAGTATTGGCCAGTTTCAGTTACTGCAGAGACTTCAATGATGAATGGATGTGGGTGCGAGTATCCGCTCTCTACTCATGTGCATCCACACGCACTCTCATACTTGCACTCACACCCAATCATGATGAACAAAACTATCAGATATGGACACAATTTTAACAGTTGGTTGTGAAGCTTGAGCGTATGTGTGGGGAGTTTTTTTGAGCATGAGAGTGAGTGATTGTTTGAAGGGAAGATCAATATTCAGGCAACTCTTACCACATAACCATATCCACACCTTCTTGGTATTGTCTGGTTCTTGCTAGAAACCATCTATTCTTATTGAGCTGATTTCTTGTTAGTCGTCTACTGAACAGTGGTTACCAATTAGATGAATCAGAACATCACTTCTATTGTGCAATTTGTTTTTTAATATATTGCTGGTGTCTTTGCAAATCCTATTGCCCTCTTTCTTCCAAGTCGCATCAATTGACAGATACTCAATGACGAAAGATGATCATGCTCCACTTGTTTCAATATGACAGCTGGTTCATCCATCGAACCTATCATTTCAACTATGATTGCCACACGAGTGGCTAATCGCAGTAATAATTCATAATACAAAGGGTTCGATATTTTTCAATTGTATATCATTGAAAGGATCATATCTGACATGAGTCAATTCTCTTGTTTTATTTAATTTAATGTTAACAGCATAGAGTAATTATAAAACGAGTGGCATTTTGATAACATACTTCGTCATGGATTAGCATGAAAATCAATAACTTCACGTGAAATAATATACAAATGAAAATAGAACAAAAATAAGAAAAAACAATCAGTAGATTATTTTCAGTCAATTTCGATGATGATATTGAGAAAAAAATGGTGATAGTGCTCAGGTAGGGATTTAGTCCCTTTTTCACATCACTATCGCTGGTTTTGGTTGTGAGTATGAAATCGGATGTGGTTTGTGTGTAGGTTTTTCCTTCAATCACATTCATACACACCCTTCTTGGAAAACGGTGGTGCTCTTTCTCTGGTGTATATACTTATGATTTATACGTATAATTAAATTTTCAGATCAATTGGTTGAGTTCTTTATATTCTATGGATTATGCCTATAGGGGCAAAATTCACGATTTTAGGCAAATTTGAGGTTTTATATCTCAAGGCTTTCAAGGAATAAAATCCTAACATTTTTACTGGAGGTAGGTTTAGCAAATTCTTACCTCTAGTAAAATCTCTGGCTTCATAAACTCTTGTGTTAGGTTTGCAAAACATCTTCTAAAAACCGGGATTTTGACTGATATCTCTATTTGTCTCAAGGCCATCTCTCAAAACATGAATTCATTTTGGAGTTAGTATTGCAATATTTGAAAACTCATCTGTGTTCTGCAACCCCATAAGAAAATCAGTGCAAGATCTCTGGAAGTTTAAATCAGATGATTCTCGGAGTAACTAATATCAAATTTGACAATGCCTGTGGATGCTGATGTCTGTGACTGTGTGGGTCCCAGTGTGGGTCCCAGTGTGGGTGTCAGTATCAATCTTATCCTTGGTTAACTGAATACATACATACATCCTCAAGTTCAACGTTCTCTATCGAATGGTAGAATCAGATTTACGATATCTTGAAACATGGTCTCAGAAATCGAAAACTAATGACTTTTTCCTATAGGACATAGGGAATACCGGGAGAGCGAGATTATTTCAGTACCGATTCTCGCCCAAGATTTGTTCCAGACCTTTTTCTCGGTATCAACAGATAGGGCACATCGAGCTCTACTTGGAACACAAATGTGAACACATAGAACACTTTCTGGACCAATCAGGGTTGAAAATACTCAAAACTAGTGTTAGATTCACCTACCTGACACCTATCCACATCTACACCCGACTAGCTGTATCGTCGGTGAAATTTTCAGCTAAACCGAATTTCCAGAAAATAGCACTTCAAAACTGATTCTCAGGACGCCTGTGAGATTTTTTGTTTACAATCATTTCAAAATCACCAATGCAGATTTACACTAGAGATCGTCGGATGGTCCCGAGCTCGATGGGCCTCAGTCATCTGCGAAATGTGTAGATTGCGCTAGTCGTTGAATGCGAAAAGTCGAAAAAGTATATCATCTCTTCGGAGCAACGATTCAATTCCGATTGAATCTCTTACTGCAATAGAAGGCGTCCTGAAATAATTAAATTTTCGAAAAATGAGAAGTTTGATTAGTGCATTTATGTCAAATTATATCTAGTTGTCAGAGTTTTGAACTGAAAACTATACAAGACAAAATTCAATATTATTTCTGGACTTTTAAAATCCTTAAAAATGTTTTCTCAAAAGCCTCTTAAATTAAAAATTGGGAAATATATGAAACGGAATAGAAGATACAGGATTTTCTATTGCGAGAATGGAATTTGGAACATTTTATTGAGAGTATGAAAGTCTGGTTCGATCGAGTCAGAAAAAATTTTTGGATCCGACAGATTCTCATTTACATCATTTAGGATCGACTTTTGAACTGTTTATTTAGTTACAAGTAAATTTTTCGTAGCTCCTTCTCCCTCACCTTCCTAACAATAAAATAAATTCTATTTTTTGAAAATTTTAATTCTGTATAAAAAGAAACGTTGCGCAGAGATTTTATAGTCTAAAGAGTCCTTTATCAATCGTGCACTATTGAATCTGCAAAAAACAACTTCGTAAATCGTTTACATCATATACAAATTTAGGAAATTGGGAAGAGGCTGTCAAAGAATTTGATCATCCAGGACTTTTATGGCGTGATCGACAAGCTCTTATATTACTTATAACAGCGCTTTGCCGAGTTTTACCAACTGAAAAGCATATTGATTTACTTTATGGACGTTTGACTAGTGTTGAAGAACGAGTTAGAGAATGAAAAAAAAATATTCTAATTTAAAGTATTCCTTTAGGTAC